ATTTGGCTGGCTCTTAATCTAAGAAAACCAGCCTTAAACATTCCCTATTACACCACTCTCCGTTCAAGTTAGCCTCTATTTTCGGCAGTGTTACGGTTGTCCCCAACTGGCCGTTTCACCCCTGAGTTAATCTATAATCACCAAGGACTAGAAAGTTAAAGATCAGCGACTATAGGTAGCTGTTTGATTGGAGAAATAATAGGAGGTCATTAACTATTGTTATTCGACTATTTCAGTCTTTATAACTGACGTCAACATTATTAATCCCTTATTATTGTTTCTATCAAATACCAGCGATTAATTCTGATTCTGAACCGTCTGGATAATTAGTGGGGTAGACTCGATCACACAGACCAAGTACTCTGAGATTTTTTTCTGCATAATTAGCAATTTAGATTATTAGGATGCAGTCTCGATCATTCAGACAAAATAATCACCCACATATTCTGATTCTCGTTTGCAGAATTCCGTTTCGACTCGATCAATTAGAGCAAATACTCTGATATGAATTCATCCGGATTCTTCCAAGATTATTAGCGGTATAAACTCGAACATAGCGTACAGACCAAATGCCCCGGTTCCCGTCGGGATAATTTCCAGTGTAGACTCGATCATTCAGGCCAAATACTCTGGAATTAATTCAGATTCTGTCTGGACAATTTAGTGCTATAGTTGTCCACAATAAACTGGCTATATTGTCAAATTAATCCCATATTTACACCATGCTGATTTCTCATTCACCATTTCTAATTCCAAGGAAACTTGAACAGATCTTGGCGCTACCAGTCGGCTATAACAGAACCCAATACTTCTACAACTACCAACTACCACCTAGTTGTGGACGCTAACATGCTATCTACAAACAACGACATAGTCTGTGATATCATCATCAGTTGGAAGCAGATGTTTACTTGTCATCTACCAACTACTACCTTATCTGTGATATCAGCATCTGCTGGAAGTGGACGTTTGTCATCTACCAACAACTACCTAGTCTGTGATATCAGTTAGCTGGAAGGGAACATTAACTTGTCATCTACCAACAACAACCTAATCTGTGATATCAACATCTGCTGGAAGTGCACGTTAACTTGTCATCTACCAACAACAACCTAGTCTGTGATATCAGTAAGCTGGAAGGGAACATTAACTTTTCATCTACCAACAACTACCTAGTCTGTGATATCAGTAAGCTGGAAGGGAACATTAACTTTTCATCTACCAACAACTACCTAGTCTGTGATATCAGTAAGCTGGAAGGGAACATTAACTTTTCATCTACCAAAAACTACCTAGTCTGTGATATCAGTTAACTGGAAGTGGACGTTAACTTGTTATTTACCAACAACTACCTAGTCTGTGATATCAGCATCTGCTGGAAGTGGACGTTTGTCATCTACCAACAACCACCTAGTCTGTGATATCAGTAAGCTGGAAGGGAACATTAACTTTTCATCTACCAAAAACTACCTAGTCTGTGATATCAGTTAGCTGGAAGTGGACGTTAACTTGTTATTTACCAACAACTACCTAGTCTGTGATATCAGCATCTGCTGGAAGTGGACGTAACTTTTCATCTACCAAAAACTACCTAGTCTGTGATATCAGTTAGCTGGAAGTGGACGTTAACTTGTTATTTACCAACAACTACCTAGTCTGCGATATCGGTTAGCTGGAGGCGGACGTTAACTTGTCATCTACCAACAGCTACATAGTCTGTGATATCAGCAACAGTTGGAGGCGGACGTAAACTTGTCATCTACCAACCAACCTACAAAATCTGGAAATCATTTTTAAAACCAGCTGGGAATAACACTTGGTGGTTATTAAGTTTGATGAGAAACGAGCTCGGAAATTAGCCTTTTCATTTTCGTCTTTAGAAACCCGGCGACTAATCGAACATAATTTCCGGCCAGAATATATCTTTTGTTACAAATAAATGAAAGCTGTACCGCTTTCCAAAACTGGAAAGATAATTGAACAATCGAATCACTGTGTCACATTCCTCTAATATAACGTCTCTATTGTGATTATTAAGGGATGCAGTGATGTCTTTATTTAGATGTTTGAGCTTGAGTACAGGTTCTATTCCGACGTATACTTTATGATTTTTGTCCCTTGTCTCTCCTCAGAAAAATTAACGTGTCCGCTTTGTATAAAAAAATTTAGGATTCTATGAATCTTTTCAAATTTATTGATTGCCTTTTCGATTTTGATAGTTATTGATGGAATAAAATGTATTTTAAATATCCGTCATTATTCATTCACCATCATTAAGCGGCCGAATTTAAGAATTCCCATATCTCATTCGTTATACAAGTTTGGTTATTTTGAAATTTTCGACTATTGTTCTGTAAGCTGATCATCGTATCACGAATAAGGGTTTTGTCACGGTCTTAGTATCTGGAGGAAATATGACAAACGGGGGCGTGGTTTGCACACGATGTAAGCTGATATCAGTAAAATATCACGTGTTACTTTATAAATTCTGCAGAATACATTGATATTGTATTTAATATTCTTCACAGACAGTAGAGTTCTTTATTTATGTAAAATCACTGAAGCGTTTCGATTGTAAGATTAATAAATAAAACCTTAAAACCTCATTGACAATTACATAGATCAATAATCAATCACAATAGTCAATCATAATAATCGATCTCTGATCAGATCAATATCACCATCATTACGAACAATTAAAACCCATTCGACTTTCATTAAATCTTTATATAGCTTGTATTGTACCAAGAAAGGGAAAGGAATGTGTTTTTGTGTATAGAGTACGGTATATGTGTGTGCTTTTTTGGTTGTGTTTTTAGGGCCAGTGCCACGCGTGTCATGGTTCGTAGAGAAAGAAGTGGCAACATTTTAAATTAAATTTGTTTTCATGGTAACAAACTCTTTATTTCTCAAAATGTACCTCCTGACCCCCTCTAGAATGGCTCCGAAACTTTTTTTGCGCTGATCCCTTCCAATTCAAAGTTTGATAGCCGCCGCTGATTGTGTCATATCTGTGTCAGATATATTCAAATTGAAACTTTTCTAGGTTAAGAAATTATATCTACCTCATTTACAGTTTGTTGAGGTATTTGTCTATTAATTTATTCTGCAGAACACTAACAGTTTGTGTTGAGGCTTTGTATGATGTTTGTGACATTCACAGTTATGTACATTGTAGTGAAAACCATAATTACGATCAGTGTAATCGAATCCGAGAAGGAAAACATTACACTGTATTAGATATATCAGTAGAGTAAGCAATCTATACCTCAACTTATAGTCAAAACTTCTTCTAGAAATATTCGCACTGATATTGTTCTGCAAGTTCTTCTGATATAATAATATAATTGGCTATAATAGGCTGACTATATTGAAAGATCGAGAGATAATAATATTGCATTAGGCCTATATAATTGCAAGAATGTTTATTCATTTCAACTTTTCTGACCTGCATCACTTACAGAGTAAAAGGAAGTGGGAGTGTCTGTATGTGCCATTGTATTCTACCTGGTATCACACCCATGACTTAACAGTCCAAACGTCCAACCTAAACACACGACTTACATCACTGACTGAATGGAAACCTGGTTGTCTTGACCTATCTAGCCAGATAGCTGAGATTAAACCCCAGATCCTCAGTGTGCTAGCAAGCCCCGAGCTCTATAAGCTCCCATAAGTCTGGGCGATCTACTAATTTGTATGAAGTTGATTTATTTAATCCTAAAATCACCTCGTTATCATTCCTGTATAATATTAATCCTGATATTGAGCCTGATTTCTCAACGAATCTGTTGATCCGGATTGACTGGATAAACGTCATATTACTATCTGTTTAGGTAACCTCACACTTGGGTGTAGTCTTTATTACCCCTGGAATGGCGCGGTGGGGAGAAGTTTATTCATTATTATGAGTTTAGGTGACTTCACAATGGGTGCTGGGTGTGGGGGTATTCTTATTATCAGTCTAGGTAACTTTACACAGGGGTGAAGTCTGGGATGGCGGGGTGGGTCGATACTTATTATTAGTTTAAGTTACTTTGCACTGGGGTGTTGTCTTGGTAGCCCTTGTCTACTCTGACCTGCCTCACTGACAAACGGAGTTGAACCGTCGACTTTCTAAACCGCAGCTCCACTGACGGAAGTGAAACCGTGTTTTCTTAACTTTCTCGGCCAGAGCTGGGATTAAACCCAGGACCTTTAGTGACAAAGTAACCCCCTAACCCTATGAGCTCCCTTCGGTCTGAGAGATCTACTAATTTGCATTGAGTTGATTCATCTAAATCCTGATAAATGGATTGCCCCTGGGGTAGGGGAAATTCATTATTATCAGTTTAGCTAGCTCCACCACAATGGTAGAGGTGGGAAACTGGACATCTCAGAATAAAGGGACGTTACTCTTCATTTATTACCGACTAAAATCAGTTTCGGGTTTTGGTGACATTGATTGTTTAATCGTCATTATTAATGAACACGGACCTGGGAGTAAGCACACATATAAAATACTACTGTATCAATACATAAAGATATATTCTTCACGTATAAGATGTTTTCATTAAGATAATATTATTCAAAGCTTAGTGAGTTTAGTCTGCGACCTTTTGGCAGAAAATATCAAACAAGATAGATGTTTTCCTCACAGCCACTCGAGGCAGAAATGTAACAAAAAATTCAGCGCACACAGGGGAAACAGCTCAGCTCCCAACCTCTTGAGGCAGGCAGCTCAGCTAGTTCCTCTCGTCTGCGGTGCGCTTTAATAGACCATTTGAATCTAATTTTCATTCTGTTTCATATTTTTCGACATACCACAATTTCAATCTTTAGCTGTTGAAAGAATTGAATCAAAACGAAATCATATTTCTGAAAGACTGAAAGCCAATTTAACTGAGGTCTGATTTTCGGTTCATCTCGCATAATATAAATAAAAAAATTCTATGTTATCAGCCAGTCTAATAATTTTCTTGCGTCAATTTATGAATAATAAAAAAACGAAAGACATTAAGAATTAAATAAATGATTTATTAAATTAGAATCATGAAATTAGTAAAAACCACAACCAGTATCATAACTAAATGATTTCATGACATGTGATTGGTCCAAAGGAATAGCACCAAAGACATTGTCCAATCAGATTTCTGTTTCATTCATGCTTTAATTAGATATATTTGACACCTCAGCACTTGACAAGATTATCCTTTCGACATCAATCGATATGATAAAACACATTCCAAGTTTTTAATTTTGATTTTCAAGTTATGTGTATTGAGGATAATGAGATCGGATCTGACGGGGTAAAGGTGCGGGAAGACGTGTTACAATGTTCGGTACACGGTACAATATACATATGGTTAACACACACGAACCTTGGTCACAGCAAATTTGAAGCTCTACCTCGACTTAATGAATCGATATTTCAAATCTTCTATAATACTCACTTAGTCTTAAACAAACATGAAAAGTTTTGGAAATGGCTACAATAGAACTTTAAGAGCGCTCAGTTGAAATATTATAGCCTTTTTTTCAAAAAAAAAAAATTCACTTGAGGTAGTGACTCAAAATGGCTTTGCTATTTCCATATAAGAACCATATTATGTAGTTTCATATGAGATAAGAATGAACAATAAGGTAGGATATAGAAGAACTAATTGATGAACACAGTACCCTGTCACTTCGCACCATTAAGTTGAAAGACTATTGCTTGGAGATTGCCGGAGAAAGAGTCTTGGGTCGAATATTTTTAGGGTTAATCAATGGTAAATACGGTAGCAGAACCTTAGGGATGTACCTCCATGCATAGGCGGGGATTTTCCCTTCTCGTACATAGTTTGGAATCGGCGGCATTCCACCTTTCTTGTTGCTCATTCCTCGAATGTTAAGAGAGTTTCCATTTTTCAAGAAATCCGGTACTTTTGGTATACGCCCGGATTTTCGACTTGCTCTTAAAATAAATTCAGGAATTCTTAAAAGCTTTCCTCCTAATCGAAAAAACGAAGGAGTTTTTGATCCAAGAGCTTTTGAAGAAACGTCTGCGTGAAGATTGGCATTAGTATCAGGAACTGCGGTCAGAGAAACGCAGTTGACCATAGTAACGGCAGCCACCACCATTAAACACATCGCCATTTTAGTCATCTTTATATCTGTAACAGAAATTATTTTCAAGTAGTTAATCTTTAAATGTTCTAGTATATGATATGGATAAAAATTTGTACAATCAAGATAAATCCGTTAATCAAAATCCCGTGAAAAGTATGACAAAAAATCGAGAGTGCAACTTGTATAGTAGTGGACTCCTCCAAGTACTATTACTATATGTTTCGAAAAAGAATTAGCATGATCTGTACTATTTGCATATGCATGAGAGTTGTCAGTTTATTGATCGGTCATCTGAGGCTACCGCTGCGGACAAATCGGTATTAATCTATAAATTTCCACTGAGAAAATAGTCTCATATTTATTTCTTATTTCGAAAAAGTTGTCAATTTGTTATTCGTTTCATCGAATTTTTAAATTTTGAACTAAAAGAAAACAACACCCAATACAATATGAAAATTTTGAATATATATAAAAAGCAATTTTTCAGATTCCAATCGAAATAAATTCGTGAATTGATCAATGAATAACAAAAGAAAAAATGAAATAATGAATAATTGAATAACAAATTAAAACAATTTGAATTAAATTGAATAAATATATATGAATTATTATAAACAAACGAAAATAAATAAAAAGAAATAAATATTAGAAAAATAAATAAATGAACGAATTTACAGTATTTTTGGGGGGGGGGGGGGGGGGGTGAAATATTTTTAAATCATGTATTAAGATTATTTATCTTTTTCAGAATTATCATTATTGTTTTCTAGTCTCTTTTTTTGTATAGATTGTAAAATGATATTTAATAAAAGAAATTTTGTTTATTCAATATACCTAATGGTAAATCATAAAAAAATTAAAGCACCAAAGAAATAACATAACTAACCTTTTGATTTTCGACTCGGAAACTTTGATGAGACGGCACAGATGATCAAAACTAGCCGAGAAGCACTTTTACTGTCCCGCACCAATTCAACGGTATGGTTGTAACCTGCTTCAAGTCGGAGGTTTCAATACAAGGGACCGGATAGATGTCGGAGTTTTATCGACGACGGTTCTGATATAAGCCGGATCACATCAGACTGACTGACTGATTGTCTCCAGATCTTTGACAAAACGATTTGTGATAAAGATGTCAAATCATAAATTATTATTTCAAACGCCCATTTCTTAAAACATCGAAGACTTTGATGACAGAAAAACAGCGAGAGAAACTCTAATTTATGCGTAAGACAGCTGGCATATATTGTAATTTTCCATGTGTTTTTAATATTTTTGAAGAATTCGTGTTTTTTATCAATCAATCGATCTGTCACTGTTGGTCATCAACCAATCAATTCAAATTATAAATCACTTCCGAGATCTATACGTACTAAAACATAAACTATGCCATAAAATATATTTATATCTTGAACGAGATCTATAAATAATTTTGTGTAAGACAACTAAAATTGCCAAAAAAAAAAGAAAAAAATTATAGATTGCTAAAACTTTCATGTTTCTGACCTCAAAACAAAATAACGATAGCTTTTGCGTCGTTTGGACACAATTGCGTTTGAATTCCACCCATGATCTAGTTTATAAAAATATGCAATATGAATAATGAATATCAAAATTTTAAAAAGGGAATATTTTACACTGCTTTTTATATTCCTGTACTCCATAAACTCTCTTGGTTCTCAGGTTATTCAGTACTGGTGATATTCACCAAAGTGCACTTTACACTACTCATCCAAACAATTAATTTTTAAAAATATGTCACAGTGAATATAGACATGTCTCTAATCAACATTAATCAAGAATCCTCCACATGGGAATCCCTCGACAGTTGGAAATCGAAAAAGAGCAGGCTAATGCCGCTGTCCCGGCAAAATTTCCCTCATTGCACCCTATATGGTATTGCTCGTCTTCATTTGCCCACATGATGCATAACAATAGGGCGTAAAACTCCATTCATTTCATTTTTTACTCCACAAGGGAATTCGAAAAATGCCCATGAATGCAAGAGGTACTTGGTGGCTCAGTGATTAAGACGCTCGCTCGCTTCCTACACAGGAAAAAAAGTTCCCGGGGGAGGGGCTCCGACCCACTTAAATCCACGTTGAGCTACTGATGTCTTATATAAATAACATAACCAAAAAACCTTGGTCATGGTATTGTATAGGTCCGGCTGTGTACTTTGATATGTGATAAAGCGGAATTGAGTTAAACGTCCTGCTTCTCCACCTTAATGAGTTGAAAGAAAAAAAAAGCAAAGCCATGCAGTGTGCCAGGGGGTGAATTGTGTTAGGACACTGGTAATAACGTTGTCATTTTCGATGTCCGTAGAATCTTTAACTTGACACTTATTTCATTTTATATAAGCCTTCTTTACGGTTGTTTGACTTCACGTGTGCAGACCTGTTCACCCAGTGAACTTTTTTAACCTTGTGACAGTCAGGTGACAGCAGCCTGATTTTTCACTGAATATATTAAACACGTTCCATATGTATGCCATCGTCACAATGTCAAGCTATTACAAACTTCGTCTTATTGCAATAGAAACCTGCCTTGTATCACTATCAAGGAATGTAGTGAATTGATTGGATTTTACGCTAGAGAAATCAAGAGCATACGACATAAAGACTATAAACATTATGACTTATGTTTGGGCTCTCATCTGCTGTTTTCGGTAGCGTACAATCCAATCAAATCTGGCTATTGCAGTCAAGG